AAGCTAGCACAATAAAATTAAAATGATACTTAGCATTTGTAATTTGTAAAACATTAGCCTGATGCTGCATGATTTATTCGGAGATTTATCTCCACATAATACGGCCGGTTTCTGTAGTCTATCTACAGATAGCCATTCAGCCCACGACTGATGTCGACGAAATAAAGGCTTGCCTCAAAGCATCAAATCTGTAGCGCTATGTGAAGGAAATTCAACTGGCAAAAAACTGAGTTGCACTGTTAAACGATCCATCTGCTGAAGATTTGTCGACGCGATTGCTGGCTATCGCTAATGGCCAATTGGATGGATTTCATTCCCTAGGAATTTTTGTAATTTCGTCTAATCATTACTAACATATAAAAATAATAACTAATGATTGAGTGAGGGAGCAAGTTTGGCGGTTAAAAATTAAGATGCGGACCACCTAAACTTTATAATTCAGAATCAAATCATTTGTACTCTGCATTAATTCAAATGTATTGACTGTGAACAAACGAAGACGAAACCGCTAATTATCTAATTGAATTTTTAAACTATTTGGTTGTGCCTGGTTTATTTTACAACGGAAGGTTGGTTCGGTATTAACCGTGCTTCAAAATTTAAACCAAATTTGTACGTGACTTGTCCGCGTGTTGGCAAACCAAAACCGTTTAATTTTTTTTTAAGTTAAACGGTTTTATTGAAAATAAAGATTAAAGTGATGTAGAAAATGTACTAAAAGCTAAAAAAAATACGGTATGTCCTGGATACTAGTCATCACACCACTCTCCTCATTAATTAAGGACATTACTTCACATATTTTTTTTAATTATTATTTTGAAAATAAACAATTTCCTCATTATGTTTTCCTTAACCGCTGAGCACGTGATAATTATTCAGCACCTAAAAGGTACTCAGCTCTATAGAAATTTCACACGCTCGACGTTTTATTTTTTAATTGAAAATATCCATTTATCGAGATTAAAAATATCGATTTTTTATGTATCATACAGTTTATTAATATTTATTTATTGCGGTACGGTACTTCAATATTTTTAACCCATTAACCCATTGCTATCGCATCATTCTTATCGTTTTGGTCCGACTACGAGCCCGCGATAGTGAATATTTAGGGTGTTTATAAATAAATAAATATTTAGGACACATTTGTACACAACATTTTCTAGTACCAAACTAAGCAAAGCTTGTACTTGTGGGTACTAGAAAACTAATAAACATACTTTTCTTTTGTAAATAAATACATACATACACTAGAAAAACACGATGATCATCATACAATATTTTTCCAGTAGTAGGGATCGAACCCACACCCTCTGGCGCAAGAGACAGGTACACTACCCACTACGCCATTCGGGTCGATGCCGGACGCTTTCTATGCAAGGTTTCTGTATACTTATTGCATGTTTTCTTTCCATGTATTAAGATTAAGTAAAATTTTGATAGCTGATTTTATGAACAATCCAAGCTAGGGATGGGCTAGTAAAAAAATATCGATATATAGCAATGCTTCACACGTTTATTCTTCCACGTACTCGTACATAATACATGCAGTACTTAATGTAATTCTTCAGTATCACGTAAGCCTCAATTTATTTAAACCAGTATTCCTCAAACATTAGTAGACCGTTTGCTCTTGTCAACATATCTATAATTTAATGAGATTTACGTTTGTCCCAAAAATTTCGAGACATCAAAGCTTTGATTTGACGGTGATAATGGCTCGTCCTAAATTGGAACGTATCAGCTCCAAGGTGGTTGGACCTTTTTCATAAAAAGCGCAAGAAATATGTAAGAATAACTATTTATGTAATCGTTACATTAAATATGGAACTAGTTGCAATAAAAATATATGAAAATTCTTCCCCCCCTCATGGAGAAAATGTTTCTTTATAGTAAAAATGGTTACTGTAAACGTTATGCCATAGCCAAACAAATTTGCTAACTTTTGCCACAACCAACAGCAAGGTGAATTCTTGCGAGTTGTTTATTTACTTTAAACTTAAAATATTTAAAAAAATATTTTGGTTTCAGGGAGTTTAGTAAAAATTATATCTTTCTTCCGTCTGTTTTTTTTACATCTTGCTCCAAAGCACGCTCAGTTTATTACATAGGTACGAGAGGAGGGGGATAAAGAGTGAAATTAAATATCAAATTATTGTTCCTTTTCAATATTTCTTAACATTAAAACATTTCTCAAATGCGGTTATTCGAAGCAGCATCGATGAATAGCAGCAGTATCCACTTGATACTCTTTAGTAGTATTGGCTATTACAGTGAGTGACACCTCGTTCTTTATAATCTATCAGTAAGATACCAGGTTATGATCGTTTCAGATACTCCAACTACACTCGGCGTCAAAAAAATCGCACATCCGAAAAAAATAATTTAAATACTATTTTAACACAACAGGCCAATGGCAATGTTGTGGTTGAAGGGTATCATTCGAAAGGTAATTTCATTAGCTTTCAGGAATTTTAATTGAATTTTACTTTTATAACGAGACGAAAGAGAAATTAAAGAAAAAGACAGGGTATGTACAAATTTGCAAATTAATAATTAAAAAAATTCTTAATAAATACAAAAAAAAGTTCTTAAAACCTAGTGTTAACCCCCCTTGCCTTGATAACGGCTTCCATGCGATCTTTCATGGGACCTTACAAGGGTCGCAACAGCCTCTTGGGGTATTTGTTCCCCCTCTTCAAGTACCGCATCTTGGAGCTCTTGAAGAGTGGTTGGAGCTGGATCTCGAGCTCACACGCGCCGTTTTAGGTCATCCCAGAGATGTTCTATTGGGTTAAGGTCTGGACTTCGTGCTGGGCAATGCATAACAGGGATACCGACCTCCTGTAAATAATCCCGTACAATAGCCGCGGTGTGGCAACGAGCATTATCATGCATTAAAATGAATCCATCACCGACATAACCAGCATACGGGACCACATGTTCCTCCAGGATTTCAGTCATGTACCGACCAGCATTTAATGACCCTTGCCCACGGCCACCCCGAGTCCGGGAAACGCACACAAGTTCCGTTTTCCCGTCGAAGGAAATGCCGCCCCAAAACACACGAGCCACCCCCGGGTTCGACGGATTCTTCGAAGCAGGGTTGTGTGAACCTCTCCCCCTGTCTTCTGTAGACCCTTCTACGTCTGTCATTGCAGAAGAGACAGACCCTCGTCTCATCAGAGAAGAGTACGGTCCGCCACTGTTCTAGAGTCCACTCGCAATGATTGCGAGCAAACTCTAGGCGATCTCTGCGATGCTGTGCAGTAAGTTTTGGACCTTTAGCAGGTCTATGGGCTGTTAAACTCTTTTCGTGTAACCTTCTTCTTATCGTAGAAACACTCACAGATGTTCTCCGAGTTGATCGAAGCTGTTGTTGCAACTCAACAGCATTTGTAAAACGGTTTCGTAAAGATGTCGTAACGGGGTGAATGGTGACGTGGTGATGAAACGGTCATCTCTTTCTGATGTGCACCGTTTTCTTTCAGATCCCGGTTTTCTGACATAACCACCAGTCTGCTGAAAACGTTGGAACACCCGTCGAACTGAAAAACGGGACAGGTTCAACTGTCGAGCAACGTCACACTGCCGCATCCTCGACTGCAATAGGGCAATCACTTGAGCGCCTTCTTCAGAGCTGGTGTCCATCTTTACTTCTTCTCACTTGGGTTACTTGTTCACGTGTGTTCACTGCAAAGTCTAAATTACGACTGACCCATATTTCTTCCAGATCGACCCTTTTATACCCTTTTTAGTGTGTTTATTTTTGACAGTGATTTCATGATTTTTTTATTAATAATGTAAAGCTATTCAATACCCATTTCAAAAACATACCAATATTTATATAAATATAATTCGTTTCTAGCCATTATAGCCATTTTTCGCGCAAACTCAGAGAGGTGCGATTTTTGTAACGCTTTCTCGATGATTTCTGGAGGTGGCCGCAATTGGCCGCCCGAAGCGATGGTCAACTTCAATGGAGCCCCTGCCTTGCTTGAAAAGGGCATGCCACTTGTAAAGGTCTTGCTTGGTAAGGAACTTAATGACCGCACGGTATTCAATTTTCTCCATTATGGCCGATTTCTTCCCGATGGACTTGCTCACTCGTCAATAACTCGATTGATTAGGTTCAAATTTGATATTAGTTGTTCTACTAGTGACTACCAGGATTAATTAAACAATCCCTTCATTCCACAATAACCCATGTCAGCACAAACTGCATATCTGCAAAATAAAATAAGAATATTAGGAGGTTTGTTAACACACTTAAATTTTCAGTTACATCTGTATAATTAAAAAAAAATCAGAAATAAATTTTAACCTCAAAATAATTCAGAACAGGTCTGTGAAGTAATCATCATATTTAATAACAAGTAAGATTAATAATTGAGTAGAAACAACCATCAACCCAATTGAATACTAACACTGTGATGAAATGAAACTGAAGTCTATTGAATTTGGAACATAAATCTACTTTTATAAGAAATTGTGAATTTGCTTACCCTATTTAATCCTTCAGTATTCACTTTCTCTCAATTGCATTGTGCAATTTTTTGGTTGAGTAAAGTACCTTAAAAAAATTACGAATTGTCAATATAATACATCCTTCAGTGCACATAATCAGGAAACAAAAATTAATTTTCAGTCCTGTTGAGCTTTTAAATACCGTCATGGTGGCATCAGGGGGTTTTTTTAACATCATTAAGAGTATTTGAAAAATATTGTCTTTAGAATTAGTTTTTACTGAATTTGGAAATTTTATGAATATGTAATACCTTAATTTTTTTCATGTCCACCAGTTTCTGTTTACAATCAATACTTTTTTTCATACTTTAAATAATTATAAAATTTAACCTTGGGTATTCATCATGTGATTGATAACCTACAAAAAGTTTACATGAAATTTTCGACCCAAAATTAAAAAGTAAATACTCACTTTTTAGCGTTTACTCTTAATTTTAAAATCTAATGGTGTACAGCTATTTTCATTCTGTTTAATGTCTTCTTCCCAGATTATATATGCTTCCTATGTTCTCAAAAACATCTGTAATAAAGAAATGTCATTAAAACATGTGAATAAATGAAATGAGTAGCCATTTTGCGATGGAATTATCAGTCCTGTTGAGCTTGTAATGACCGTCATGGTGGCATAAGGAATTTTTTTATCATCATTAAAAGTAACCAGCGTTTATGTTTAAGATCGGATTGTATGTACATAATGTATGTAACTTAACTACCTTCTTACATTGAAATGTAAGATTAATAATGCCAAATGCCATATCTGGATGTTAATAACAGTGATTTTATTTAGTAGATATGTCTAAAGGTCTTACACAAAAGTAAGCATTTGTTACTGAACCGTTATTTTGATAGAATTAAATTTTTTAACATAAATTTATGATAGTTGCATTGTTGATAGATAATTGCATACTGCTTTGGTTGTAACTCAAATTTAATATTTAATTTTACTTACATTTTATTGACGAAACATTGTAGAATGTTGAAATATCTGAAAAGAGAATAATTAATTATAAAGTAAGATATCAATCAGCATTCTTACAAAAAGTTAAAATTAGAAATTATTCAGAAATAAAGTGGTTCCTCAAGAATATCAGAACAGGTCTGTGTAAAACTCATCAGTATATTAGTTTTGAATAAAAATATTGTCTAAAGCATTTTGATCAATGAACAAAATAATAAATTCCCATTTTTTAATTTAAATAAAGAGATTAATAAATACATATTTTTCTAACTGTATCAAGTGCTTACCTTCAAGGATGTAGGGTTGACCACAGGAACTGAAAGAAATATAATATATTAGCACCAGGATTTTTTTTACAAATTGTTAATATAAAATTATTGTTTTTTCAATAGAGGACCATTCTTATAAAAGTGTATATAAAAAGAACTCACCTTCTGTTTGCTGTACTTTCTCGCCCTGTTATATTTTAAAAATTAAACAACAATTTTTTACAATAAAAAAATTATAATTTAAAAATTAATTACAGTATAATTAAAGATGTCCAGACTCCCCAACTACATGACAACATATATTAGTGTGAAGGGATTGTAATATCGTTTTATAAAATGTGATACTACCTTTAAAGTCTAGTATCACATATTGTGGTAAATATTAACAATACACATCTTCCATCTCATATTTTATTGAAATTTCTCAAACACGGCTCCCGCGTTTTACAAACTGAATGAGGCGAACAATGTTTTGCTTGGAATAAATGGAAAATAAAGTATGACAAATAAATTGCGGTGCGTGAGGCGCTTGGTAATGTTACATATATTACAGTATAGATTGCATTAGCTACGGCGTTTACAACTTGTCCAGATATTGAGTCAAATCGGGAAGACCCTCCTTCAGTCCTTTTCTTTTCCTTGTGTCCTGTTGAAAACAAAAAAAATATCGTTATATGTATAACTGAATAAGATATGTCTATTATATTAAAACATTATCGCCTAATGTGGTTATAACAAAGTAAAGTTTTCTTTTAATGTAAAAGGTTGGCTATTAGGTCGTGTGGCTGGTCAATTTTTGATGGTTACCACCCTTTGACGACTCCTGAGGGGTTACAGGTGAGTTGCAAACGTTTAAAAAAGTTATCCGCAAGTATAACCGCAAGGATAGATTCAAAACTGGGGTATTAAAGTATTGGAGGAGGAAATGGCATCTTAACCACACTCACACACACATACACGCGCGCACACGCACAAGTAATCCATAATAATGCCTAAGTATCAAAAGTTTTCAAATTGGCTATAAGTTTTAGTAATAAGATTTATATATATTTAACACAGTGCTGTGGATTTTATTATAACAATAAAATAAAATAACGTTTTCACCCCATAGTTCAAGGCGCACGGTACTCCAATTTCAACATTGGCAAGTTATAAAATGTGAAGCTTATAATGATTGAAGTATAATTCGTGTGGATATAAAACAAGAGCTTACCTGGACAACCACGTAGGGTTTGCTGCCGGGCTCGCACGGGTCTCCGGGCAGGACCTGCCAGTGGTCGAAGACGCACTGCGGGAAGGCCTGCCCGCCGGTGTTGGAGCGGAGGTCGGCGGTGAAGCCGAACGACTCGTTGACGGGCAGGTACGCCTTCACCACGAACATGGGGGTGCCGGCCACCTGCGACTCCTCGAACACGTGGCCACGGCGTCTGTTCAGCACGCCGTAGATGCCACCGACGGCCACCTCGGGGCACTGTTGGTTATTTGATCCATTATGGTCTGTTGTTCCTCATCAACTTTTATCATATCAACTTAATTTTTTTTTAATTCAATTTAGGCTTATAGTAAGCTCTCTTATTGAAGGTCAAAAAAGTACCACCGGTTCACAAGTGTTGACAAGAGTTATTTCCACACATTATTATCCCTCAATGTATTGGGTAGTTTTACAAAAATGTTTACACTTAGTTGTTTGTGGAATTATGTAAGGATGTTTATTAAAAGATAATGAATGACAGATAATTAAATTGAGACATGTATTAATTTTTTTTTTGTTCTTATATGAATTTTTGTTCCAAAGGACAAGCCAATTTGGGTAGATTGTTAAAATTTTCAAGGTTAAGACTGTTAGTTCCCCTATTCAGGCAAGGCGTATGCGTTGTGGCAATGCCGAAACAAAGAACTGATGCTCTACCACGTGTCGGAAAAGGCGGACGAGCGAATGCATGCCTGGCCGCTCAGGATACTACGTGGAATATTGAAAATACAGAAAATACGCTTAATTAAGCATTTGGGCAAAATTAAGGTCAATAAAAAAGTTGAGACAAATTTCACATAAAACAAGAATTTTAATATAATGAAAAAATATCTCCAGTACTCTACAATGTTGAGGAAATGCAGAATTATTTGGACTTAGCAAAATTTTAATTGTATATACCTGAATCTCGCAAAGGTAGACAGGCTCCATAATTCTGGGCTTGGCAGTTAGTAAACACGCATATAGACATCTCCTAGTTGTTGGAATGATTTGGCCACCACCTCTGTCAAAGTTAAAATTAACGAAAATCAGTTGAAATATTATACTATAAAATTAAGATAAAATAATACAATATCTCTAGTTAATCTAAAGTTGTTGATATATATAATAATCAAATTCTATAACATTACAATTTTTGTTTCACAAACCTGTGGATGGCATCAGTGTGCAGGGTTACATCATAGATGTTGAAACGGACACCTCTTAAGTTCTCTTCAGCCATGACACCTTCTTTAGTGGCCCATTGGAAACCAGCGACCACAGAGTCCTTGATTTCATTAAGGTACTGCACTCCCTTAGAGCAGTCTACAAGAATGTTGGGGCCAGTGTCTTCAGGACCGAAGCACCAGATCTTACGGGCCTCGGTGACGTCATATTGGTATTTCTCACCAAGGTAACGGGCACGAGTCTTAAAGTCGTCACGTGGGTTAACGCGGCCCTGTTGACAAAAATTATTTACCTCTTTATGGAATGTGGTAATTGAACAATTCTACTTATCCACTGATTTATGGAATGTGGTAATTGAAAGTCTAGTAGTAGATGAATGTAACATTAAATCAATTAAATGGATCTTAATTAAATGTATATGTATTACAATATTTCGCTAAAATATTCGCAAAATTATTATGCCAAAATTGTAATGTTTGAAATTGTTTTCAAACATTTAGAAAAATATAATGGCAGTTAACTAAATTGATATATAGTTTTAATATTTTCTTTCATAATAAGAGATGGCAAATAACTTAGTAACTTATGATAAGTCAATATTAATCATAAAAATTGTATAACAGGCGCCGTAGCATGCACTCCTCGGACATAAGGATAGAGGTCCTATGCAGCGTTTAGACGCACGTTAAATTTATTCTGCTTCCCCATTAGCCGACACCTTCACGGTGAGACGACGCAAAGCATCGGACGCACTAAGGCGCGGCACGTTATTAGGGAAGGGAAAAACGTGGTTCATAGAATAATTTAAATTTTCATGAGAATTAACACACACAATACCTAATATGATATACAGTTTGTAACATTCATCTCATAGTAAGAATATTAACAACACGCCACACTAATAGAACGAAATTTGAAATTAAAGAAAAGAGAAAAATTGGAAATATTAAACATAAAAAAATCTATGCACTTAGCCAATTACACTAATAAAAATTATGCCCACACTAACCTCATCAATATCTTCAGGCAGACCATCAGGCATAGGCTGAGCCTTCATGAACAAACGGTTGTGCTTGTTGGGCGATTTGGATAGACACATTTGGTCAGACTCCTCGTTAACGGTTTCACGGTACGACACCACTGGGTCGGACTTTTTGATGGGAATGCAGGCATGGTCTTCTTCCAAATCCTGGTTTAAAATTTAAATAATTATAATGGTAATTCGTTTATATGATTTTCTAAATTGTTATACAAGTTTTTTAATTTTACCTTAAGACAAATTTCAAGATGCAACTCTCCTGCACCGGCAACGATGTACTCGCCAGACTCTTCACTAATACATTGTACCATAGGATCGGATTTGGCCAAACGCTTCAGACCTTCAACCAATTTCGGTAGATCGGCAGGGTTCTTGGGCTCGACAGCAACACGCACAACAGGCGATACACTGAATTTCATGACCTGAACAGTGAAAAATAATTTTATGAAATGTCAGGCAACAAAATGAAAATAATCTTAGAAAATCAAAATAACAAAAACATGTCTTTACTAACAAACAATTACAGTAAATCAAAACTAACCTTCATGTTATGCGCGTTCTTGAAGGTCGTGATTGTTCCGGTCTTCACCAAGAACTGGTCAACACCAACCAGACCGCAAATGTTACCGCAAGGTACATCTTCGATGGCTTCTACGTAACGTCCCATCATGAGGATAGTACGCTGGATGGTCTTCTCATACAGATCCTATGGAAATCATGTAAAGTAATATTAGTGCTTGAAATAAAAAAGAAATTCAATGGCATTATTGAAATACGTAAAGGATGTGTCACAGGCGCCGTAGCGTGCAGTCGTAGGACATAAGGATAGAGGTCCTATGCAGCGTTTAGACGCCCAAGAAATATTTTATCTGCTTCCCCATCAGCCAACGCCTTCCTCGTGTGACGACACAACGCATCGGACGCACTCAGGCGCGGCACGGTGGTGGGGAAGGGAAATTTGAAAAAATCTATTTAGAACATATGTTCACACAATAGTTGCGCCCAAGTGGTCGGTATATTCAACTACATCCTAAGAAACCTATAAGCTGAAACAAACTGTATATTAAGAACAAGAAGGCTTCAGTTAAATTGTAGCAAAAATCTACGTACCTCTTTCTTGCCAGGTTGGTAGTTCGGTCCCATGATTCGGCCCTTTTGTCCGGTGACAACTTTTCCAGAGAATACACGACCGAATGCGTAGAAACGACCCTTGTCAGAGGTAGGCACCATCTTGCTCACATACATCATGAGTGGTGCTTCTGGGTCACAGTTCTGGTGAAATCATAATATAGTAATAAAAAAGTTCACATTTGAATCATATTTATGAACAGATTTATTTATTGATACTTTGAAATCCATACTGACCTTGATACCAATGGCGGCCTCATCATCCTGAGGACCTTCGTAGAGCATTTCCATACGGTACTTTTGGGCCACCACAGGTGAGGGCAAGTGAATTGCAATCATCTGAAGAAGAGCTTCACCAGCTGGCAACCAACTTCTCATAACAACCTGTATAATAAAAGGATTTTCATTATCTATAAATTGTCATAAAACAAAAACTTATAAATTTTCTTTGATCCGATATGAATGTTTCTTTCATTTATGGGGTCACAAACAATGTAAGCTCACAACCAATTCCAGAAAGACATGCTGTAAGTCCACTTTGACACCCAGAAACTAATGTGAAAGTAACTGGCAACACTTGGGACTATAACAGTTTTTCTAATTTCAAAATATAATTCAAAGTTACTTTAAATAACATTTTTAGTTCTTTAATATTTGCAAGATTAAATCTAAAATTACATATTACCTAATATACCTAATCCACGCGGCATGGTGCCAAGAATGCTAGCTGCATTTCCTCACTGAATAGTTATGCTTAACCTTTAAGCGAGAAAAGAACCAGCTCTCTTGTCAACAGCCGCGGCGTTAAGCCTAGGACATAAACTTTAAAAAAAATTTGATGTGCGGGGACCCCATGGACCTAAAGTTCCAACAGCAACTTGCACAAATACGTAATCTAAACATACGACTCATATTTGCGCCATTTACTAATAATAATTTCAAAATAGTTTACAAAATACAAATACACTTTTTCACCTTAAGCAGAGCCTTTCCATCCTTATCAGCATCCTCATGTTTGATGGTGACACCAAGTTTCTTGATGAGACCGTCAATCTCCTCCTTGCGGAAGTTCATGATGGCGTCGAACACCTTGTAAATTGGGTCCAGTACGTACATGCAGAATGAACGTTTGTTATCAGCATCCTTCTGTTTGGACCACTTCTTAGTATTGGCATTGAAGAAGTTTTCTCCCCATAGCCTATTGGACAAAACATTTAAATTAAAACAAACATTTAATCAATCATGTCAATTGAAAGAAAATTACTTTCATTAAAAAAATGTTTCTTGGTGTTCGTTGCAAAATGCCTACAGAGAACATTCCACCAATCCACCCCAAGAAGATAATATCTGTCCCTGTCTGCCGCTGGTGTACAGTATGTATACATTACCCAGCATCAATGGGACAAATATACAAGAAATTCAATATGTAAGGATATGGTTAACTGATTATTAATTATTCTATTATTTAAAAACGTAAGTGTTAATTGTTCTTAATTTGCAACATGATTTTTGACAGCTTTGTGAATTTTTATTTTAATATTCTTATATTCAGATTTCTATATTCTTATACAATAAGGCTTCATTATTTCAATAAATTTAAAAATGCAAATGTTTGAATTGGCCTTTTTCCCCAATCTGAGTCTTGGGATTAAGTAAATGGTTACGAGACAAAGAGAAAAAGGTTATTTTTTTAATGTTACTAAAGAAAAAAAGATTTAATAAGTCCCTAACCAATTTGAATTAGTGATATACATAGAAATTAAAGCATTTAATATTCATTCACCTGTTCATAAGCTTGACAAGGTCAATCTTGAACTTGTCAGCATACATCTCGGCAAACTGCTTCAGGGTAAAAGCCCAGCCATGGAGGCCGGAACCGAAACCCACAGAACCCTTACTTGGGTCAACGCGCACCTCACCTAATTAAAGTTAAATATATTAGATTTTTTTAATTTAATTAAAATAAAAAAGGTTAGAAATACATAGTCCGACTTAAGGTGGTAGCAAGGTTATCATGTATTATCTTAATGTCAAAGGGACTAGAAAATCTAAGAAGGTTGACCTACTGTTTATGATGTATTTTGATTTTACTAATCATGGTGTTTTTACACATGTCTTTTTAGAAATATTGTCTTATTTACAATTTAAACAAATGAGAATTAAGTAAACACTGTACATAATGATGTTTTATTAAGTCCACTTTGATGCCAAAAGCATATTGGTATATATTTTGAAACACTGGGACTGGCCTTAAATTCATTAAAGTATTAAAAGAAAAAATATACTTTTAGAGATAATTATGACTGTTATTAAGGCCAGACAGGTCCACCTGGGCAAGTTTCACAACCTCACAGAAGACAGGCATAAAGTAAAAGTGTTATACTTCTGGATTTGGTCTGGTTAGTGAGGTAGCAAAAGCTAACCTAGTTTAAACGTGGCAACGCATTTGCTTAACATCAGGTGAACAGCCAGCTCGTATTCCACATTCTCACAAAAAAATAATAAAAAATAGAATGGACAAAATATTTCAACAAGTCTAAATTGTATCTTTATTTTGTTGTCAGAAGTATTGTCTCTGAATAAATATTTAATTCCATTATTAGTTATAATTAGCAAGAGTAAACAGTAGATGAACTACGTAGTTCATGTAGTGTTCCAAAGTACATGTCAACATTACTTGCAGACGTTGGTAATATAATAAATGACATGTTACTATTTCTAGACAGTGTTTTAGAACAACCTTTATTATTAACTTCAGTTTGGAATATGCACTTATGAAGTACTCAATACTATGTACTTGTTTATCTAGGTTATATCAAGGGCGAAATTAATATTAACGCACATTTGGAGCTGCGTTTTATCAAAGCTGCTCCAAAGTAAATTGCGATTTACTTCAAGAATGAAAAACATCCTTTTGCCTTCAACATCTCAATCAACAATTTGTAGCTAAGTGCAAAATGCAGTAGATGCAGTACGTTCGACCGCGTCGCCACCGCTAACGATTTGAAAAGCCCATGCAATGGGCATGTGCTCGCTTATCTCACGATTACACATGAAAATTATTGATATCTAATCTTTCGTTATAAATTTGCATTTTTTGTTGTTGAAGACTCACAATTTCTGCAAATAACATGGCCATAGTATAGCAGTCCTATAATGCATAATATTCTACTACATTTATTATTTTACTGTATGCAGAAACCTTTCCAAAAAAAAAAGTCCACCATAGAAGTTAAGACAAGAAAAGATATAGTTTACCAACCTATATGAAAAGAATTTTATTCAACCTATATAAAATTTTGTTGAACAAATATTTCATTGTTCATCAAATATTTCAATTAGAAATAGGACAAAAAGGATAATGTAAGGAATAAACATAAATATTATAAATCTGTTATGCTGTTATAAATAATTATTGACCCAGCTCTTTACTCACCCATTGGACCACCATCGTCATTATAAGTAGCAATGATAACGTTAACATTTTCAACAATACGCTGGAATGTCTGGTACAGTTCTTCAGACTCAAGTTGAAGCTCTAGTAGGGCACGGTCCATTTTGTTCATGAACAGAATAGGCTTTATACGCTCTGCAATAGCTTGGCGCAGCACTGTCTCGGTTTGTACACACACACCTATTATCACAAAAGAATATTTATTTTAAATGCATAACAAGTTTTGAGCTGTAATGATGATTAAATAAATTACTTAAAAGGAGTTAAGGATAAAAAATTATTACGATTAAATTTCCAGTACTAAGCAGCTAATTTAAAAATATGATGCAATAACAAAAATTTTGCAATTTATTATTTATTTTATTAAGAATAAAAACATAATAAATGCTTTTTTTGTAATTCAGTGATTATGCCACATCATCAATATGTGTACTTTCTCTTTTTGGTAAATAAAATCAATATTACACATAAGCTGTTGTTTTCTTAGTTGTTCACTTACTATGTGGTAGTTAATGTAAAAAGTTTACACAACTGAATACAGTTACACAACTAATAAGTTGCGACTAAGTTGTTTTCATCAACAATGATAATGATAAACCTTATTCCTTCTGCATAATAACTACATATGTCTTTAGGTGAAAACATACCTGAGACACAGTCCACAACCACCAGAGCACCATCAGTTACACGGAGAGCAGCTGTCACTTCAGAAGAGAAGTCAACGTGACCAGGTGAGTCAATGAGGTTGATTAAGAAGCCCTTCTCACTCTTCTCACGCTGATCAGGATTTGTAATGAAAACCAAGTCTTTCTCTTCAAGTTCAAAGAACATAGAGATGGCACTACAAAAAAACAACTGATATGAAATACTAAATTTATTTAAATTTCACAACTTTTTAAGTACATGTCAAAGAATCAGATGGCCGTTCTGAAGTTCTTCAAAGAATATCAGTTAACATGGTTAGAACAATCATCACGAAAAAACAATTTCAATTTACTAAAATTTCACATTACATTAAATTTAAACAGTATAGAACATGTGTTAAAATGATATGCAAGAATAATAAGGTACTTTGAAATTTCGATTCCATATGCGGTAATTACCATATGGGTCCAATTATTCGTCTATAATTATTACATTATTTTATAGGATTATAACAACAAAGAATACTCACGTGGATTTGATGGTAATACATCTGTCTTGTTCATCCTTCCGGGTGTCGGTGAAACGTGTTTCGCCGGCTCTGGCGTTAGCGATAATACCGGCTTTGGAGACGAGCGAATCGGTCAACGTGGACTTGCCGTGGTCTACGTGGGCGATGACGGACATGTTGCGGATATTCCGCTTCTTGTCCATCATCGTCCTGATCTCGTCTACCGTGAAATTCACCTGGAGAAAGGAGGAAGCCAATCATCATTTTGTTGTGCGACGAGAGGAAAAAGTAAAATAAGATTTAAAATATTTTAACTACGCACATTTTTCGATAAGCATGAACCGTTGCAAGCTTTTCTTAAAAATTAATAGGATAATTTGCATAATACAAGTTTCAACACAACACTTCGACATAATATCACCTTCAATTTAAAAACGTCATCCGATACAAAGACGGTCATCGCGCAGAAACTAAGTTTTATATTGTAATAATTCAATGAATACGTAAAAATAACTACTCAGAATATAACTATAAGAATGCAGCTACACAATTTTAAGCATAATTGTTAAAATGTATACTCACCATATTGGATGGTTTTTGATTTTCTTTCAATAAAATATACTACCATACGCCAGCGATGGCGTACGCTTGAAAAAGGGCCCTATTTTCTTCCGTGGCCCGGATGTACCTGCCAGCCGTCAGACGACGTTCCAGTCATAGACAAGTAATGGTGCCAGTTGCAAAAATGTTCGATGTTAATTATAAAATACGACAAATAAAAATTTAAAGTATTGTATGATGAAAGTATTATGTTTTGTTAAATAAAAAAATTATAGGGAAATTTTATTATATATCAATTATAAGTTGTTTCGTAGATGGCGCTAAAGTAAATAGGATTTTCAGGTTTTCCTTAAATATCATCATGTTTTTCCAAATAGCATAAAGATGTCATTGATAAAGCTATGCGATTTTAAAAAAATGAATCTGTTTTTTGGTTACATACTTAAAAAAAATAGTTTTTTTCTTGGTATTTTTATATAGTAATAAGAAATGTGCAAATTGTGCACTTCATAATTACAGGTTCTTGTGAGATCCAATTTTGTCTAGGTACGAGGTATTTAATTAATGTGATTAAACATATTATTTAATTTCGATATATATACGGCGCGTTGCCGTAACAAAACAAATCAGGTGTATTATATGGGGGGTAATAAATATACCGGTTTGAACCTGCGTCTCCCGATTTCATACGCTTTTCTAAATAAGCGTCCAATGATGCGTTGCAAAGAAAATATAGTACATTTTACATTAATTATGTGGTACAATTTGCTAAAATATAATAAGATAAGATACTGTACGTTATACTATGGATGGCAACCCTACATCTGTGTCGTGTGAACTGTGAGTGGTAGGGATGGGTTATACTTGCTAAGTCGCGTACCAGGTCTTAAAAGGACGTCCACCTTCTCATACCAGGTACAGAAACCAGGTATCAAAATACTTTCAAAGTATTTTCTGTCGAACGCAACGAGTCGAATACTTGTTTCCTTGCAAGTATACAAATAAGATTCAAAATATTCCAATCAAGACGTAAAATACTTTGAAAATATTTTATTTCCCGTATAAGCACAATCTGTACCTTATGTGTATGAACATAAGTTATCTAATCAAGTGAGAGAGACACACCAGTCGAGACCGATATACATTACTTCGCCATTGCGCGGCTTCGCCAACTTAGGAATTTCTTTCTAAATTTAGGAATAAAAAAAGTTTTTTGGGACGTAAATTAAAAAAATAAAAATAAAATTTTTAGTAGTTATTAGTTTAGTGCTGTGCTGCTTTGGACGACTTCAGGCCAAGCCCTATGTGTCTGGTATGGATATTTTATGTTTCTTATAAATATTTTTTTTTATATTGTTTTGATTTTATTCTTAAAATATTCATTTAAAATGAATTATATTACATTTGATGTTCTTGACCATTTTTAATGAAATGGTTTATTTTATCAGATAATTATTTTGCCTTTACCTATAACATAAAAAATTCGTGATTTTAAATTTAGAAATTTTTGTTTGAATTTAATAAATTACTGGGTTTTCGAATTGCTTTCGGAGTATTATATTTGAACAGTTGGTAGCACTGGTTCGACTTCGATTGACGTCTAATTGTTGAATGCTCAAAGACTACTGTTATAAACTGGAAATACTTACTTTGAAGGGCTCGTACACTTTAATGAAAAAATACTTTCAAGTCTTGCTAGTATATCGGGTCGGTATCGGTACCTGGTTGGTATACTTGCAAGGAAATACCTGGTAACGTACATACACACCATCTCTAGTGAGTGGTGGTGACAGGCAAATTTTGGCCGGTGAATTAGTTGTTGGCGGGCGTACGCTTTTTCCAAGAAATTGTGGTGCAAGGGTGACTATTCCCACTAGAACGTCGCGTTGTCGCGAGGGCAATTTTTCTTGGCAATACCAGCGGAGTTTCTTGCTTGACCTAAATTAACATCTGCGAAAAATAAAACAATTTTTTAATTTAAGCTATAATCAGTTACATAAAAGTAAAAATATATATTTATCTATAATTGGTAACTTACTTACTTATGAACATAATTTTTTTATGTAAAATATCGACGTTTCATAAGAAAGTGCAAGTGTCTATGTGAATAATAAAGATATTTTTAATTTTATTTCATTATTGAGTACATTCAAAATGAAAAGTTCGCTCTTTCCAGCTTTATGAAAATTAATTTTCAAAATAATTATTTTAAAAAGTCACAAAGAGCACGTTTGGGCAGGTCCGACTGGGTAAGTACCACGACCTTACAGAAGATTGGTGTAAATTAGTACTAGAAATATTACTCGTACTAGTTTCTGCGTTTCGTCTGGTAAGTGAGATAGCGGGACCCACTTTAATTAAAGTTGGCGACGCATTTGCAACCCTATCATCCTACGGATGTAGCAAATGTCCATGGGCGGCGGTTATCACATAACATCAGCTCGTTTGCCACTTTTTCACATACAAACATCCTGTTTCTTTTTCAATTACACCTATAAGTTTTATTTTGCTCAGATTTTCACGTGCGAAAATCTGAAAATCACTATAAGATTGTTGACAGGTTCATCATCCAATACATACAGGACTAGACAGGTTGAACACAACGTAAATAATAGCGAGAATTTGTCCTTTTAAGGTTAAACGTTTAAAGGGTAGTGTTAGTTAAGTCTTAAAAGCATCTAACAGGAACAAGAAGTTAAAATGATACTGATGAAAACAAGATACATGGTACACTGCCAACCATTTTCCCGTGAATCACAGCTTTAAGGCGAACTATTAACAGTTCAAGGTCGTATCGCAATTATCTATCGTCTTGTTAGCTTGCCAACGACACAGGAAAATAAGGTTTTTTTTTTATAAAAGACACACGAGTAAATTGTGTAAAAAAATTAACTTGTTCATATTTTTCAACTTCAAGGTGAAGATGGTTTTTTGAAGAAAAAAAAAGGCCTGCTTCGGGAAAAATTTCTCTATTAAGATAATGTGTTGTTTCCGTGATTTTGAGTAAATATAATTAACTACTTGATAGTGCGGCATTCCCGCAGTAGGTACCGTGATCAGTCGCCGAATGGTTATGTTGTTATGCTGTTATCCCGGCGGCTTTGACAGCATCAAATACAAGTTAGCAGATGGCATTAAATTTTTATTAATTAAATATTTTTCTTGAAAACAAATTTATTTTACATTTTATTTTGTAAGAAGATTGCAAGCGAGCTTACTGCTCACCTAATGTTAAGCTATAACCACCGCCCATGGACTTTAGCAACACCGTAGGGTGCTTCAAACCGGAAACTAAAAAACATTGTTAATACCTATAACATTTGAGGTTTGCCCTCGATTTCTCAGGGATGCTATCATCAGATCGGGGTTTCCTTATCATGGTACCACCCTTGGGATATCTCCTTTCCAACAAAAAAAACTTCGTCAAAATCGGTTCATAAACCACGAAGTTACACACACATTAAAAAAATAAAAATATACAGCGTGTCTTTACAATGGCGACAATAAATGAACACACATATAGAGGATAACTTTTTAAAATTGTATTAAAGATTTACATTCTTTAAACATCAATATTTACCGAGTTATCAAATTTTCCAAAACAAAGAATTTTAGAACACCCTTACGTATAAAACTATAACGTAAAGTTCATTTCTCAAGGTCACAAAGCATATAAATGGGTTGAATGAATTTAAAAGAGAGCCGTGATAGCTCAGTGTCCGGGCGCTCGCCTTTAATTTAATACACTCGAGCAACCTGAGTTCGATCCCCGGTGCCGGCACCAATGAAGTTTTTAACTTTTAGTGCTGACTTATCACGTGCTCCGCGGTGAAGGAAAACATCGTGAGGAAACCTGCATATTTTCGAAATAATAAAAAAAATATTTCGAAGATATGTGAAGTCCGCCAATCCGCAGTGGGGCCGCGTGGTGGACTATACCCTCTGCATAGAGGAGGCCTTTGCCCAGCAGTGTGATATGTATAGGCTGTTACTTTACTTTTTTTTACTTTTAAAAGAGACTAAACCTACTGTTAAAAGGAGAGGCTTGTAATGCGACGCTGTGGCGCGAGTTGTATAGGATGTTACAAATTTTGCTTCATTTTTACTTAATTAGTTTGTTTGAAAAATTTTTTTTTTAATTATGGATTTTGTTTAACGTTAATATTTTTTATGATTATTGGCAAGTAGCGTAAGACATGTGTTCATTTATTGTCGCGAAGGTAACGACACGTTGTATACGGTCGAATTGAGAAACTTCTTTCTTTTTTGAAGTCGGTTAATAAAGCGAACGGAACCGAAAAACCAGGATATTTAACAGTATTAAAACTATTAAATTTTATAATTCTGTCACTGGCACCACGCCAGCTCGCTTCGACGATTACATACAACCATAACGTTTTCTGGCGACATTGTTCTCTTTACGTGGAAAAGGAAACTTTGTTGTTGGAACAATACAATCAGCTGCCAAATCGCTTCGTTTGATTCACCAATTGTACATTTATATTATAGGTCTTCGTGTATCTGAGACCTAATTTGCTATTGTATCGAAAAATAATACAGGTCTGCAACTATGAAGATATTTTATAGTCACATTAATTCTTCATATTCCATATTTATGTGAACACTCAATCTTTATATGTATATATATAATTCTACTCTACGTGTGTATGTCACTGAACTCCTCTTAAACAGGTATACCCATTTTAATGATTTTTTTGTGTCTTAAGGTCGATTCGAGAATGGTTTAGATTCACAATGCGGTCCACTAAATTTTTTTTTAGTTTCTAAGTTGTCGAATTTAAGTCGTGTGTTTATAAAACTTTTATTATATTAAATGAGTAGTTAGAAATAGGTTTGACGTAGTATATTATAATTTTTACGTCTTAATAAGGATACTCATGTTTTGTGTTTTGTGTCGTAAAATGATTTATGGTAACCAAACACTACGTGTACACTATATTTTCATTAAAGAACCAGGTTCTTAAATAAAATATGGTGAATATAATTATTAAAAGTACGTTATT